CCCCAAAACCCCAAAACCCCAAAACCCCGTACGGAAATATTTTCTTTAGTTTAGTGATTTTATTAAAGGTTTATTATAATTTGATTTTTGAAAGTTTAATTTCAATTTTTCCATCAGAATTATAATTTAAATTCTTCTAAAAATGTCTTATAACAATTCTAGATCTTTTGGAAATTCTGGTTCAGGCTATAACGGAGGAGGTTTTAATTCTTCAAGCTCATTTCAGAGCAATAACTATAACAATAATAATAATAGTAATTTTAATCGAAGTTAGACTACCTGGGGCTCTTCAAATGGAAACTCATGGTCCTCTTCAAACAACAATTATTCAAATACTGGCGGGACTTCATATGGAAATTAAAATAGATTTGGAAATAACAACAACAGTAGCACCAACGGAGGTGGTTATTCGAATTCCTACAATAGCTATTCCAACAACTAGTATAATAACAACAACAATAATATCAATTCAGATCCATTAGGAAAACATAAAGGCTTTTATTAAGCATATCAGATTAATTAGTCTGTTTCGACCTTTGGAAAGACCTTCACTCACAAAGTTGAAGATATTTATGACCCTAATGTCTCGAATTGTCCCAAAAATGGTCATTTCTATCATATAAATACTGAGTCCCAGATTGCTAATGTTTCTCCATAAATGGTAAGAATGATGGATATGATTGCTGGAATGAATAATGGAAATCAAACTACTTCTTATGAGTACATAGCATTTGAAGATTTCAAATAAAATCATAAAAATTACAAATTCTTTGATCTTATAAGTGGGCAAGGTAACTTTAATGTATAGCAAAAGACTAACTGGACTAGTTCATCTTATGGAAGCAGTAGTTATGGAAATAACTCATCTAGTGGATATGGAAACTCCTACAATAATAACAATAATAATAACACTAATAGAGGGAGCACCTGGGGAAATTCTGGCAATAGTTGGGGTAATAGCAATAGCGGGTCATCTTGGGGAAATAATAATAATAACAACAACAATAGCAATGGATCAACATGGGGAAATAATAATAACACTTAATTCGGAAGGTCAACTTGGGGGAATAATAATAACAACAATTCTGGTTGGAATAATAACAATAACAATTAATCAGGGTCCAATAATAATCAAAGTAGTTGGGGTAATAATAACAATTTTAACAGAAGTAATACATCATTTGGAAATAATGGCTTTGGAAATAATAACTCTAACTATGGAGGGAATACAAACAATGGAAACAGTAATAGTTGGGGTGGCAACAATAACAATGGAAATGGCTTCTAAGGCTCAAGTTGGGGAAATAACAACAATAGCAATAGGTCATTTTCAGGATTTAATAATAATAATAGTGGAAGTCAATGGGGAAACAATAATAACAATGGAGGAGGTTTTAATTCAGGAAACAATGGAAGCAGCTGGGGAAATAATAATTCTGGCAGTGCGAATTTCGGTTTTAACAATAATAACAATAATAATAATTAAAACAGATTTGGGTTTGGAAACAATAATAACAATAATCAAGGGTCATCATCATTTGGTTTCAATAACAATTCAGGTGGTTTTAATAAATCAACTTCATCCTTTGGTAGCTCAAGTAATTTTAGTTTTAATCCAAGCAATAATAATTAAGGCTCATTCGGTTTCAATCAATCCAAACCAATGTTTGGAACAACAGCAAGCGGAGGTGGTAATATGTTTGGTGCAACTACTTTTGGTAATAATTCTTCATGTTTTGGAAATAATTCAAACAATAATTCCTCTGGTTTCAGATTTGGATAGACAGGTAATAATGGCTATGGAAATAACAACTACGGAAACCAGTAATAAAGTTCGCTACCTGTGCTAACTCTAACCCTAGGAGCTAGTTAGGTTTAAACTGGAATAACAATCCCAACCAAGCCGTTTATGAATTAAAATAATGGCAATAATAACTTAATAGGACTTTTTGGATCATAACCATTAGGATTTAATAATGGAAACAATAATAATTAGGGTATGTTTAGTATAAGTAATCATAACAATGGAATGAATTAACCTATTATTGGGAATCTTTAAAGTATATAAGATCCATACTAAGCAAAGTATGCGTTTAAAAGTGATAAGGAAATAGATGACCATATCTTAAAAGCCAAATTAGATGCTTTTGGAGATTTGAAATCTAATCCTTATCATGATCTTCAAATAGCAATTGCTGCAAGCTTCACTGAAAAATAGCAAGAGGACATCATGATTGATAAATACTCACCAGAAATTATTGAGGGAAATGAAAAGCTTGATGACAATTTAAAGCTAATGAAGATGTATCATTTCTACTAGAAACCATTTTCACTTGAGAAAGAAAACTAATTCGTCTAACTACCTGGATTCAACAATCAAAAAAGCTTTTTATCAAATTTCAAAGGCCAAAATAAATTAAACTTAACAGGGATGAGAATAAGGACAAGTTAAGATGATTCAAATATTAAAAATCATTCACCAATAATCGTTCCATTGTCACAAGATAATTTATAAACTCTTGAGAGAAATCAAAAAATGCAAGAGTATCATGAGTATGTTGTGAAGACCTAGGAAAAAATTGAAAAATAGAAATCCCATAGATAAAGGAAGAGAACTGGCTCTTTTGACAATAACTATGAGCCATTAATTGCATTCAAAGAAGCTAATGAAAACTCTAATATTAAACTAAGGGAAGCAGATGAGCTAATGCTTCCTTCTAATGTAGACTTAATGAAGGTTACATTTAATTTCCCATAAATTGGTAAGCTAAAGGAGTCTCAAGTCACCTTTAGAATTCATAAGAGCAGAGATGTTGATGATTTATATCGAAAAATTGAAGAAATTCTACTTCAAAATTATAAAATGAATTAAAATAAGCTTGATTACATAGTGCTCTATAAAAATGTACTTCTAAAGAGAGAACTTTCTCTTGAGTAGGCTAATATTATTTAGAATTCTCAGATATATATCTAAATAGTAGATGGAGATGAAGATATGCCAAAATCATCAAGAAAATCTTCAGTAAATGCTATTTAGAATCTGCCCTATGCTTAGAAATAGCTTCTCCCAAAGCCTCCAAAGTAAGGTTATAGAATTTAGCCAGATATGGCAGATTTTGCTAGAATGACACTAATGGATTTGCATAGAGTGGAGAATTTTATTATTCAAAATGAGTTTGGGTGCATTATGTTTGAAGGGCCAACAGATCTAAGTGAGGTTGATCTAGGAGATTTAGTCACAATTAAGCATAAAAGTGCAGAGGTTTACGATGATAGGAGACATAAAAAACCTGAGATTGGCTAGAAATTAAATAAAAAAGCTCTCATTACTTTGTTCAAGTTTAATGTTAAAAAAGGGAAGTCTTAAGATGAAAAGAATGAGTTATTAAAATAGAAGATTGAAGCAAAAGGAGGAGAGCATATGTTCTATGATATGGATAAGGAAATATGGCAATTCAGAGTATATCATTTTTGAGGGAATTCTAAAATTAATCTAAAGATAATCTTAATTTAGTAATTAAATAATTAAATTCATATATTTAACTCCCTTAATTCTTGAGGGGTTTTGGGGTTTTGGGGTTTTGGGG